ACACACACACACACACACACACACACACACACACACACACACACACACACACACACACACACACACACACACACACCCCCCCAACAGGAGCCTGGGAAATAAATCACCTCAGGTTGCCATGACCTGCCAATTTGGCATAACTTTATCGGCAAAGCACATCCCCATGACCGCAGTGCATGAAGGATCGGTGATATCTCACGCACGCACGCACGCACGCACGCACGCACACACACACACACACACACACACAGATGATCCAAGGTCACCAGCACTGATTGGTTTTGGGAATGTGGATAAACCACTTCCTGCTCCTCTGCATTCTTTCTCGCACTGTAATTTATTTTTGTTTCAATTCTCCCTGCGGTGTCAAAAGGTGGAACAAATATTTCTCATGTTGCATGCAGACCACCCCGAGAAACACGGGTTTAACACCGGGCCGAGGGTAGATATTCTCTGAGGCTGTGCTTATGGAAATCGACTGGATAAAGCCACACATGCTTGGTCATCAAGTTAGACCCAAGGCTGTTTCTCTTAGCTCCTAGACAGTTGATATCGATGACTCAACAATTTGCATGTCATTTCCTGGTGTATATCTCAGCCAGCAAAGCAGATTTGGCAGTGTTTGTGTGAAATATACCAGACCGCATCCATCATCTGTTTCATAACACTTTTGATGGTGTTTAAACAAGTCTGAGCGCTACCAAAGCTTTTTGAGTGGACAAGTACACCTGAACTTCAATGGTAATACATACTGTGGTATTACTGTGTATGTATGAATGAATCTACCACAGTATCAATATTTAATTTCACGGTTATAGTAAATACAAGTTTACCGGGAGATTCCTAGTGTATCCCCGACCAAGGTCATACTGTAGGCTTACTATATGATTTTGTTAAATGTCTTGGTAAATACTTTGTCTTAAGGAATGCACAGCCCAACGTCACATTTTCTAGGACAAAACTGATTTGTGATTTTTTTCCTATCCTTGCAGGAGGGTCACTCAGGTCAGCTGATAGTTCTGGGGGCCACAAACCGGCCCCATGCCATCGACCCCGCCCTGCGCCGCCCAGGACGCTTCGACAAGGAGCTGGAGGTGCGTAAAACCACACTTTAGGGGAATCATAAGACTGTCTTTTATTGTAAATGTAGCTTATTCTTCAGTTATAACCCACAAATAGCAACGTGTGCTCCTTTAACACCCTACTGTTTGTTTATAGTGAATGAATCTGGTGAAACTAAATAGTAATAGCAACATTTTCGGATGTTTGCTTTTTCACAATATGAAATTAACAATCAGACCTACTGAAAATGTCTCTGTAAAGCTCTGAGAAGTGCTGTACTCCATTCATTCATGGTTTGGGGTTCCTCAGGGTTCATATTGAGTACCACTACAATTTCAGTTTAGATACAAATGTCTGTAATACAATTTCTTGTTCTATTCATTTCACTATGGCAGGTGGGAGTTCCTACTGCTGCCGAGCGTGCAGATATTCTGCAGAAGCAGCTGAGCTTCGTGCCGTGCAACGCCACCAGTGAGGAGGTGACGCAGCTGGCCGACGCTGCCCACGGATACGTAGGAGCGGACCTCGCAGCTGTTTGCAAAGAAGCAGGCAAGTAAACACTCTCCTACTGTCATACAGGAAGTCAAAATGCAGAGGAAAAAACATGTTTCCCTGTCCTGGTACCTTTATGGCCGTCTGAATGTGGTCTGCTGCCTTGTGTCCTCTTCATGATGTACAACATGTCCAGCAAAGGCAAACATTTCTCTTCCCAGAAATGCAGCGATAGATCCTGAGAAAGTCCAAAAATCCATATCATAAAAACACCGCACCAACCAAGAACATCCACAGCTACTTTGACCAGTTGTTCTGTTCTTTTTAATGATTTTCCTCTTCCCGAAACCAACATCATTTAGGAAACCAAAACAAAGTCGCACATGCCAGCTGGCCCGAAGGGGCTCATCATCTTTTAGTAGTTCGGTTTGACTCGTGGACGCCAACCAACGAGCAAACTGCGTACCAACAACAGTTTGTTATTGAGCTTTAGGTACATCTGACTCAACCTCTGCTTTTAACCCAAACCACAATCCCTGGTGACTTATCCCTTCCTAAATTAGTTTTTAACAGTTTTTTAGATGTTTTCTCGGAGAGTCTGACATGCCTGCTACACAGAAGGTCAGCCATTCTTTGATATTTGCCATAAAGGAAGCTGTGTGTTTCTGTGGTGTTCAGATCCCAGTGAGAGAAACCACTGAAACCACCACTTGTTGTGAAATTCCTTTGCCCCCTCACCCCTGATGCCACAAACCAATCCACCTCACATCCTGAGCTTATATAATGTATGTGTGTATGTGAATGTGCTCGATTGTGGGTGTGTGTGGGATTGAACGAGCACACGCACATTTGTTTTTCTGTGTGTGACCCCGTGCGCCTCCTGGGTGGTCTCAGGCCTGCGGTACGTGGCATATTGCATTTCCAGCTGAGGAGGCTGCTGTGCGGAAGCGCTCCGGCGGAGAGCGTGATTTACCGTCCGCAAAGGGTCAGACGTGACTGGCAGTGTTTTCTGAGAAACCTCCTCGCGCCCCAGGGGGAGACAACAGCCTCCCCCAAACCCTGATTCACTCCGCTCACTTCCCTCAAAAGCCTCCAAACCCAAATGACTAAACAAACACAGGCCCTCGCAAGCACGCCGCAGGAGAACGAACAGAATCAGATCGCATTTAATGCTTTGTTTCTTTCTGTCGGCTCGTTCGGCGTGGACATAAAGCACAGATGAAATACAAACTGAGGAGAGAAATCTGAAATGGAATACAAACACAGCTTCAGAGTTGGCATCCACTTGAAATGCAGCTTGCTTGTAGTCTGGTTTTATTCACACAGTAAATGTCTTTCTAGGATATTAGCATTAGCAGTCTAACACCTAATTGTTAACCTAGCCATTTAGCTTACTATCTTAGCTATACTTACCACAGCCTTTAGACACATTACATAAAATGAATCTTTAGATGAACAATATATCAGAACACACGTTTTTAAGAGGTTTAAAAGAAAGTGTATACTCTATGTATGATATTTATGTTACGCTACGTGTCTCTGCTAACGAAACAAGCTTGACTGTTAGCTTGAGATTAGTCAAAGAAACATGTAGGTAGTAAAGCTTTCAGTGTTCATACTACAAACCTATTCATTAAATAACATGTGGCATATAACAACAGTAATGCTCAGTTTAACGATACTGTGATTATCAGTAACTAAACTGAACTTACTAAATTATGCATTTTCCACAGAAATACATATTTTAACTCGAAGATAAGACGCTAATCATTCATATCCTTTTTCCCTTGTCTTAAAGTTACAATTATTTTGGGTAGGTAGGCTTTGGTTAATGCAAGCTTAAGATATGTCACCTTTTGCTTTACTTGTATCATGCCAAGCTTCATTAGACTTCATTTATACCTTAACATTAACCCCTTTCTTCTACCGGTTGCATTGTGCTTCAGAAACTATAAAAGAGAAGAATATCGTGCTATAGTACGATGCATTTTTATTTGCATCTGAGCTCATTTTCTGAAATAATCCACAACACAATGGATGCATATTTTTGACTTGTTGGCGAGGGAAGCAGGATATTGGATGACTTCATCTCTCAAAGATGCACCTTTGTATCTGCTTTGTTTGAATGGATGACAAAGCAAGGTCAGGTGTCAGCACTTCAGACGATACACTTTGCCACCGTGGCGTTAGTGTTTATTCTGATTGGTGGACAGGAAATTGAAATATAATTAAATAATATTCAAATTGACTTATGTGTAAGGATCCACCTGCACCAAATCCTTATACTACCGCACATTGTATGGCCTCACATAAACAGATGCTCACACACACACACGATACACACACACTAATACACGCACACCGACACACACACGCATGCAAGCACACACACACACACACACACACCGACACACATCTACCATGTATACATCACTTCAGGGGACATTCCATTGACTTACATGCATTTCCTGGAGACTTATCCTAACCTTAACCATAACCAACACATGCCTGACCCTAACCCTTAACCTTACCCTAACCAAGTCTTCACCCTAAAATTAATGATTCCCCTCATGGGGACCTCCATTTTGTCTCCATAAGGGAGGCGAGTCCCCACACGTGACTGTGTAAACAGATTTAGGTCCCCACAAGTATAGTAATGATAGGACACACACACACACACACACACACACACACACACACGTACGTATACATCACTTCAGGGGACATTACATTGACGTACATGCATTTCCTGGAGACTTATCCTAACCTTAACCATAACCAACACATGCCTAACACTAACCCTAACCTATTATTTACCCTAAAATTAATGATTCCCCTTATGGGGACCTCCATTATGTCCCCATACGTGACTGTGTTAACAGATTTAGGTCCCCACAAGTATAGTAATGATAGGACACACACACACACACCAATACACACACCAATACACACAGAAGTTGATATCTGTTTTTTCCTTCTCTGCCTGCATTGAGAGGAAGCTGAAGAGGCACACTGACACGTCGAGTAGGAACTGCAGTTGTTTCCTTCTGCTGCTCAGGTAACAATGAGCGGCTGGGGGAACGTATGCTCCGACGCACCGCTTCCTGAAAAAGAAAAATAGGGGGGGGGGGGA